AGAGAAGGTGGCGTTCCTCACTTCGTTGAAGTAGCCGTCGACGCAGTCCAGGCAGAACTCCCCTTTGTAGGCGTCGTCACAGCTGCACTTGCCGTCGCCTCCGCGAGTTCCGTCGCCGTCACACTGTCCGTTTCCGTGACACGCCGAGTCAGAGCTGCCGACACAGGCTTCCAGAAACATGAATATAAAAATCAGAAACAAAACCCAAAACACATTTAACCACTTTCTGCATCAGGTCCTCGTGTTTATTTGTTTTTATGCTTTACTTTTAGCCAAAGCGACATTTATTCCCACCTTTGCAGTCCGGTCCAAACGTTCCCTTCGGACAGCACACTTTGATGGTGTCAATGCAGAACCATTTATGCAGATCAGGATGTTTTGTTTTCCTGAATCCAAAACGGGAAGAGGTGAGATTTGACACATTTCTGGCCAAATTGCCACTGTGGCTGAGTAGATTTGCATTTGCGGTCACACACACCTCTTGAACCACCAGGTCTCTAAATGATCTTCGTGCTCCTCCAACATGTGGTTGCAATCGAAGCTGCTGCTGTCACACAGCCCCTCCACGATCTCCATCAGACGGATCTCGCTGTGAAGGAGGCAACCAGGTGAATGGATAGAGGTTTTAAATTAAAAAGTATGGAGATGAGCGAGCGCTGTGTGTGTGTGTGTGTGTGGGGGGGGGGGGCACAAGTTTGTAGGCCTTGCAAAAGAGCGGAAAGTGAACACACTTCTGAGCCACAAGCAGAGTAAGCTGATGCATGATGAGCTTGTAGTAGCAAGCGCAAACAGACAGCGATTATGGTGCAAAGCAAACACAGCTCTGACGACCGGATCCCGTGGCACGGTGACCCGGACCGGGCAGGATGGACAGTCTCACCTCGTCTCATATTTAGACAGTGTTCTCTCCTCCCAGTCTGTATTGCCCCCTCCAAAGTTCTGCCTTGCTGTTCTGTCAAAGCCCTAAAATGACAGAAATAGTGATGTTAATTCTGAATAAAACATCTCGGATATTTGGCTCGATTTAAGACAGCGGGACACATTCACAATATCAGAGCAATGACAAGCAAACCACAGAAAGTCATGGTCGCTTACCTTGTTGAAGTTATCGGTGATTTGCTGACAGGTAGAGCAGGTGCTTTTAAAATCCTTCTTGGCGTCAGTGACTTGAAAAAGTAAAATTAAAGTTACACAGGACAAGAGCCGCAGGAGCAGCAGCTGTGGACCGTTGGGCAGCATCTTAGCCGATCAATTGGGACACCGTTTCATATGAGCACACACATTAAAGCCACACGCAAGGCAGCTATCGACTAATGTTGAAGCTAAGCAAGCTTCAACACCTCTGAATAAGCGATTCCTGACATTAAATCCACGTTAGCGTTGTGGATGCAAAACGCAATTAAATAGTATTTACATGCCGGTTATGGAAAAAACGATGCGGCTTTTAGACTTCCGCGTCAGCCTCTTGTTCGAATTGTGGCTTGTGGTGATTGGCTGAAATTTACTGTCATAAAAGCGTACAACCAATCACGAGCCGACACGCGCGGGACGTGCAGCTCGTTGCGTTTTTGTTACCTCCTTTCGCATGCGGGAAAATTGTGGATGTTTAGTTGCAGTATTTAACACAATTTAATTTGACTTGTTTTGACTTTTTTGAGACAATTTAAAACAATGTATCTATATTGCTAATAGAAATAATGAATATTTTTATTTTTATCAATATGACAACAACGCATTTCCAGTTCACTTCCTGTATTAACCGGAAGTGATACAGATCTCAGCTGTCATGGCTGAAAAGAAGAATGTTTTTGGGCTGCCACTGCTGCTTTTATTAATAACAGTGGCTCTTTTGCATTTACTAATTTGTCCATTTACGAAAGTAGAGGAAAGCTTTAATTTACAAGCTGCACATGATATTCTGTATCACAGAATCAACTTTGACAAGGTAAGTTAAGCAGGTGTAATCGATCGGATCCCTGTTTGATGCTGGTAGTAGGCGTGCTAACAAGCTAACATTTAATTTATTTCTGATTCATTCATGCACTGTGTAGGGATAGTAATGCTAAATGATCCGTTCTATGACCTATAATTAATTTAACTATACTATGTAATCATAATGCTTTTAAAAAGTATAGAGCATCAAGGGCACATTGACTAGAATGTTTAATTTCATAGTTGAAATGGTGATCTATTTTGAACGGGATAGCCCTAAATGATCTATACATGCATACTACTATGCATGTATGATATACATATTTTATTTGTTCGGTTTAACATATAGGTATTAATTATCTACACAATATTATACAAATAAATAACAACTGACCGAATAGTTTCAGCTGTTTGGAGCTTTCATTAATGACAGCCTTCAGTGGGATGCAAAGATAAAACACCCAGAGCTCCAAACAGTCATGTGATATGATTGAGAGGTCCAGATTTGGCGTATCGGGTCGCGTGTTGAGAAGAGAGCCCTCGCTGTCTTTCAGTATGACCATCATGAGTTTCCCGGTGTGGTGCCTCGGACTTTCCTCGGCCCTCTGGTTCTCTCGGTGCTCTGCTCCCCCATTGTGCTTCTGTCCTCTCTGCTGGACGCGCCGAAATTCTACACCCAGCTGACAGGTAGACTTTCCCCATCACCTCACTGAATGGAACTGAAGTGGTCTTTAGACGATCGTAAATTGAGGCTTTCCTCTAACGTGCCGTCTGCAGTCCGGGCGTCCCTGGGAGTGTGTGTCGCCGCTGCACTGTGGCACATGCAGAAGGAGGTGAGGAGGCAGTTTGGCTCCACGGTTGCAGGGCTCTTTTGTCTGACGTGTGCCTCTCAGTTCCACCTCATGTTCTACAGCACCAGGACGCTCCCTAATATATTTGCACTGCCGCTGGGTAAGAGGCCGCCCGCGGCTTGGAATCTTTACGAACTGGAGACTCTGGATCATTCTGCCTTCTAAAATAAGTGCTTTTCTCTTTTTTTCCTTTTCAGCTCTCGTGGCGTTCACATCTTGGATGGCTCAGAAACACGGCCGGTTCATCAGCCTCTCTGCTTTCGTCATCATCGTGTTCCGGTCGGAGCTTTGCATCTTCCTGGGTCTGATGTTACTCATCTCGTTGTTGAGCAGGAAGCTGGGGCTACTGCAGCTGCTTTACTACGCTGTTCCTGCTGGGGTCCTGTCACTGGGTGAGTTGTGAATGAATAAATATAACATGAATATGACATACTGAGGAAAGCAAAACTTGAGTGAAAAGCCTTTTAATACTTATTGTGTTTTTTTACAGCTGTGACGGTGGCCATTGACACCATCTTTTGGAGGAAATTGTTGTGGCCTGAAGGTCAGGTTTTGTGGTACAACACTATCCTCAACCAAAGTTCCAACTGGGGAATATCCTTTCATTTCATCGAGTACACCCACGTGTGTGTTTGAATATCCTTTCACTGGTCAGCAGATCAATCGGCACCCCGCGGTTCTCCTTGACCTCCGTCTCCCCAGTAAACCTTTCCCTTTCTGTGGTACTTTTACTCTGCCTTGCCCCGCGCCCTGGGCTGCACGCTGCCGTTCGTCCCCCTCGGCCTCCTCGACCGGCGGATGAGGCTGCTGCTGCTGCCCACCGTGGGCTTCATCCTCACCTACTCGCTCCTGCCCCACAAGGAGCTGCGCTTCATCATATACACTTTCCCCGTGCTCAGCCTGGTGGCTGCTCGCGGCTGTTCTTTCATGTAAGCGAAAACGTGTCGCCTTTTGCTTTTAAGAGCAAAAGATGGGAAATACTCATCATATTGGTATCAGTTGACTTGTTAAAGCGTCAGCAGTGACTATTTTCCAGATGTTGATCATTATCTCTCTTTGTTTTGTGCTTTAGTCTGTGCAACTACCAGAAATCTTGGATGCATAAACTGGGCTCTGCGGTTGTGGTTGGCCAGCTTTTTATCAATGCGGCGTACTCCAGTGTCAGCCTGTATGTTTCCCACCACAACTACCCAGGAGGACGAGGAATGCTGGAGCTGCACCGTTTGTTGCCAGTCACAGCAGGTTGGAATCACTTTCAGCACATTTTTAAATTGCATGAAGCTTTTAAAAAACTATTAATTCTTACCCTTTTTCAGAGGTACTGCTTATTAAAATGCACATTTAAGTTTGAACTAAACTAAACACCATTAATGATGAGCACTTGTATGTAAACCATATTAGTATATTCAAAGGATCCAAATGAGCTGATAACGATCAGCCAATCGGCTGCAGAATGCTGATTTATATTCATTTTGAATTCTCAGCAATCATACGTGAGACTGTTCAATCTTTGAAGGCATGGTTCTCTCGTTGTTCACACAGATGTCTTTGTTCACATCGACACCTACGCTGCTGAAACTGGAGTATCTCGCTTCTTGGAGCAAAACAAAAACTGGAGGTTAGGGAATTTTTGAGCAATGAAATCGGTCCAAAAGAACGTACACAAGAATGACATTAAAATCGCAATCTTGTTTTCTTTTCAACAGATATGACAAACGTGAGGACCTGAGTCTGAAGAATCCCGACGTGAAAATGTACACGCACCTCCTGATGGAGGCGAACGTCACCAAGATAAAACTGCTCCAGGGCACCCATTGGCCTCTGGCCTTCATCGCAGGCTACAGCAACATCGCCGTCAACATGTTTCATATCCCGCCTGTTAGCGTGCAATTAGCGAGAAAAACTGTGATCATGGAGAGAAAGACTCAGAGAGAGACTTAGTGTTTCTATGTGACCAGAACGGTGTCCTCAGAAGTTACGTTTTAAGACCTTTTAAAGAAAGTCTCACGCAATGTAGATAAATGTTGCCGTAAACTGTATGACATGTTTTCTGATTCTCCTTCAGTCTGGTTTGCATATCATGCATTTTTGTATTATTGTACTGTTGGCGGCTGTTATTTGCATATTTTTGCTAATTTATAAATAAATACAGTTGAAACTCATGTGCGTCATCAATAGTACATTAAATTATGGCTCCAACCAAAGAAAACTCTAACATTGCATAAGGAAAACCTTTATTTAAAAATGACCACAAAATTTGCATGGTTCCAGTCTCAACTCTAAAACATCAAATTAGGTTCAGAAGCAATTTGATATAAAAAGGTACAGTACATTTTTACTCTATAAACCCATAATTTAATCCCCTGGACATAAACTTAAATTGTGCTTAAGAGACAAATTGTATATTCCAAACCAACTGCTTATTCTGAAAATGCAGCAATATTTTACACAATTTTATTTAAAACATCTCAACAAGTAGAAAAACATCTATTTCTAAATGACAGTACCATGAGCTACAATTTCACAATGAAAATTAAATAACATTAACTTAAAACATCTTTCAGTCACAGCATTTATTTTTGGGCCATGTTTTCATTAAGAAAACTCTGCATCCATCTTTAATACACAATCAAAAAGCATCCTGACGTGATCTGTGTCATTTTAACAAAAATATGTACAGCATTTTGACCTGAAGTAGTTTTGGATAAGGCACAAGGAGAGAGTCGACACAGGAAGAAGAAAAAAAACAAAAAAACACATTGATTAACAAGCAAGCACATGATCACCAACCCCTACAGCTAGAAAAACCCTCCCTCCCTGATACACTTGAGACTTTTTCATCACAACAGCTCCAAAGTGTTTTAACAGTAGTACACGGAATAAAATAAATCCTCCAAATCTGGCCTTTGCAGTGAGAATTAGTAGATTCATTTCTTTTTCTTTTTTTTTCTTTTTTTTTTACATATTTTTGCCCGACAACTAAGCCCCGTTTCACAGCTCTGCAACTTGGTCCTTCGATAAAAGGAGTTAATGCTCCACAGTGATCAGTACTGAAAATAAATCAACGGCAGGTTGACTTTGAGGAACAGCAGACCCTCCAGGTTTTCCAGTAAGGGCCTGTGTTGATTTAGGGCACAGTTGACACTGGCTGTGCTGAAAAGCGTCTCCGCCGGGACAATGCTGGGGGGGCAGCCCACGTAACGGGCGGCTACTTTGGCGAGGTCGGGCCACAGGAACTTTTTCAGGTTCCAGTAGTCGAGGGGGTCACAGCTTTGATCGAGTATGTCTTCCTCGAGGTACTCCAGCACCGCCAGCTCCGAGGACTTTGGCTTCTCCTCGTGCTTTATCTTCTGCCGGATGTCGGCCATCAGGGACCACAGGCTGTCCTTGCCCGCCTGGGGGGAGGCGGGGGAGGCCACGGGCGCCTCGCCGCAGCCGTTGGGCAGCGGGGGCTTCGCTTCCGCGAGTGAGGTAGACGAGGACGACTCCAGCTCCCCGATCAGGTCTTGCTTGCAACGCTCCGCCTCCTCCTCGGTGAACAGCGACGTCTTGTACCGCGGGTCCAGCATGGTCGCCCAGGTGTACCGCGGGTCGTGCAGGGTCGCCGACATTTGGCCCACCATGGCGTCCTTCAGGGACACGAGCATGTTGTCGATGCCCACGGTCTCGTCGAACAGCAGGTCGATCTTCCGGTTGAGGATGTGGACGAGCGGGATCACCTGCCCCAGGGTGGCGGTGCGGTTGCTCATCTCGCCGCAGGCCACCTCGAAAGGCTTCAGCGCGTTGCAGATCGACAGCATCACCTCCCACTGGTCGCCGCTGATTATTTCCCTGAAATTGCACTCGATCGACATCTCGTCGATGGCTTTCTTCTGCTCCACCAGCCGCTCCAGCATGAAGAAGGACGTCCTCCACTTGGACGGCACGTCCTGGATCAGCTGGTTTTCCGGCAGCTGGTGGAGCCTCTGGAGCTCCGCCAGCTTCTCCTTGGCCTTTGCCGAGCGGTGCACGCGCTCGCAGATCTTCCGCGCGATACTCAGAAGGTTCTGAACCATCCGCTGGCTCTTTATGGCTTCGCTAACAATGAGGTCGATAGTGTGTCCGAAACACTGCAGGGTGGCGTGGCCGTAGTCCTCCAAGGTGTTGCGGACGGTGGTGTTGTCGGTGACCGTGAACCCCCGTTTCAGCCCCGACGAGGCGATCCAGGATTCCCACAGATACTCCAGCTGCTTTGGGATGTCGTGCGTATCGTGATCGCAGTCGATCTGCGAGACGCTCAGGAGAGCCGAGCAGTGGAAGTCCTGACCCGGGGGCCTGACGCTGGACTCGTACGTCGCCCAGTGTGCAGTGAGGGTCAGGTATTCCCTCGTCTGGCTGCCGACCCAAATGCTCGTCGTGAAGTGGACGACGCCGCTCTCCGCCTCCTTCAGGTGGGTCAGCACCACGTCCTTCACCCGTTCGTACATGTCGGGTATGGCGGTGCTGGTGAAGTACGAGGAAAGGGGCAGAGAATACTGCGGCTGGAGGTACTCAAGCAGTCGGCTCAGTCCAGCGTTCTCTACCATGGCCGATGGCTGAAGATCCAGTGCGAGCATTTCTGCGAGAAGTTTGGTGATTTTTTTGGCAACCGGGTGGTGTTCGTCGAAGCGCTCGGGGTTCTGCTCCGCTCCGTAAGCAGAAGTGTCCATGAGCTCTTGCTTGATGTGAATTTCAGCAGACGGCACGTCACCTGAGATAGCATTGTTACTTTCAAGAAAATGTCCGTGAAACCTCTGCATGTGCCTGAAGAGGCAGCTGGTGCCGAGGTTCGTAGTCTTTTTGCCTCTGCTAATTGTGCGGCCACAGTGCAAACAAACCACCTTAGTGGGGTCGGTGGGCGAAATGGAGAAATGGTTCCACAGTTTTGATGTCTTTTTACTGAAAACGGGCAGTGTTTGGGGCTTTTTCTTACTGGTGGGGCTTTCAGTTTCTTTGGTTGAAACTGCGTCGGCGGCGGGGGGAGTTGTGTAGGGATGAGGGGAGGAGTCCTTCTCGTCCGCGCCTTTTTGGTTTTTGAGCACGTCTGGGTGGCGCCTCATCAGGTGCCTCATCAGGCAGCTCGTACCGAAGTCGCCCCGTTTCCCCCGGCTGATGACGCATGGACAGTAACGGCACAGTGCTTTTAGCTGGTCCACTGGCGACACGATGAAATGGTGCCACACTTCGGACTTGACCCGTTTCATGAGCATCTTGTTTTGCTGGAAAACCGAATGATCCGGATCGAGGCTCGGGCCCTCGGAGAGGCCGCACGGGGAGACGCTCAGGGACGCGTCCTCCCCCTGGGCTTTAAAGGAGATATCGAGGGAGGGCTCCTGGCCCGACAGATTCAACACCTCCTCGCACTCCTGTTTTATATCCATGCTCTCCTCCGTGCTTTGGGCTAATTCATCGGGTGCGGTTTCGGGGGAGGAGGGAAGAAGGGGCGATTCCTTTTTCACTTCCAGGGGATCCTGCAGTTGTGCGCGGGACAGCAGTGACGGCGGGTTCGTGTAGGGCGGCGGAATGTGGTTGCCCAATCCGTTTTCCTCGATGACGACTTCTTTGTGGGCCCTCCACATGTGGCGAATGAGACAGCTCGTCCCGAGGTCTTTCCCGTTTTTCCCCCGACTGAACTCGTTCATGCAGTGGATGCACACGGCTTTGGAATTGTCGGCGGGCGACAGGTAGAAGTGCTTCCACACGGCCGACCTCCGGCGAGAGCTGGAGCTGGAGCCTTTCGGGGTGCCGGGGGCGCGCTCGGGCCCGCCGTCGCACGCGTCTTCGAGGTTGTTGTCGTTGGAATGTGAGGACGAGAGCCCGACGCCGGCCTCGCCGTTTGCATTGGGTTCCAGTTTTGGTTCCACGACGGGAAACACTTCTTTGGATGACGGGTCGGAGTTTTCGGCCGAGGAGGTGGACGGCGAAGTGTTCTTTGAGGCAGAAGAAATGACGCTGTTCATCAAGTCTCCGTTTTTTGGTGAGTTCGGGGATGGAGGTATCAAAGAGGAGGCCAAGGAGCCAGCCAGATGGTTTGAGGACACGTCGGCGCCGTCCGCCATGAGCACGGTGGGGTGAGCCCTGCGCACGTGCCTCATCAAGCAACTTGTGCTGAGGTCTTTCTCGTTCTTGCCCCGGCTGAACTCTTTCATGCAGTATAAACAGATTGCTTTGGTTCCGTCTCGTGGCGATATGCAGAAATGATTCCAGGCGGGAGACTTCTTCCTCGGGTTGGCGTTGCTCCTCATAGACGACAGGAGGCTCTGCGTGACAGCGTCCATGGCGACGTCATAAAGGGTGCTTGTGTATCCGCTAAATAAATTGCTGTACTCGTCGCCGTCTCTAGTTACAAAAGGGCCAACAGAGCTGCCAAACCCGAGCCCTTCGTCCTCCGGGGCTTCCTCCTCCTCCATCCCGTTGGTGTCCTCATTCTCCTCTTTGATATGCAGAGCTTCTTCTTTCCCATTTTCATAGCTCTCATTTCCCTCAGCATCATTGTTTAGGCATCCATTTGAAAGAGCGGGAGAAGTTGGATCCGCCTCACTCGCTTTGTCGGACTCCAGCTCCTTGTCATCCGGGGGAGATGAAGGAGGAGAGTCTTTATCCAGCGTTACAGAGGAGCAAGCAGGTGACTTTGCCTCCGTGGCCTCGTGCGGCTTGATGCTGTAGGATTTGAAAACGTAGCCGTCCTGGCCCTCGATTTTCAGGCACGTGCCTTTGGCCTCCCTCTTTTTGCTTTCCACGGAGCCATTGGGTTCGCTGATTACATCCTCACTCATGTGACACACCTCTTCCTCCCCATCCATGGCAGCCGCCCAAGGGTTTCCAAAGAACAGTCAGGTCTGCGTTGTCGAGTGTGATCAGTTTTTTGTAGGCGTAGTCATCGGCACTGCTGCTCTCAAGCAGGCGTCGTCAATAGTGTGTGCTGCTCCGGGACGTGGGGCGCTTGCTTGTCCCTCTCCATTTATGACTGAAGTACTCCCACGCGTCCTAAAAGGGAAAGGGAGAGAGAGGAAAAAGAAATGAATCAAACTTTGAGAAATAACCGGCAATACCGGTATTCCGCAGTAACACATCCGTGACGTTTCATTCTTATCTTCTAGATCTGATTGAACAGGCTCTTTGTGTAGGATTTTGCAGGCGCACACACACACACACACACACACACACACACACACACACACACACACACACACACACACACACACAGTGTAGTGCGTTAAGAAAAAAAGTCAGAACTCCTGATCTAAAATAGAGTTTTACAAACTGCTGGTATGGACTACTTTAATTCTCCCATAGAAATGTCAACAGTTGCTAATAGACAAGCGCCGCCCGAAGGCAGAATGAAAGTCAGCCTTCAGGGAACTCGACTTCTTTAGTACTTCCAAGAACAGGCTCCAAGCTCCCGCGTGTCATGTGCTTATCATAAAACTCCATCAAAAGATGCCTTACGTATTACACAGAAGTGTGTTAATTATGTAACCTTTCCAGATGACAAAGACCTGTACTAGCTCATCCCCACAAACCTAATACTCCTTTGCCACTCGTTTAAACTGAAGGGAAATGTTTCCTGTGAACTCTTAAGCATTAAAAACACCTGTGATTGATCAGCTTTGCAGTATTATCTTGTTGAAAAATAACCTGGTAATGTGGTTTTGCCACCTGGCTTCATTTACTGCTTAATACTCTGATCGAATAATACAAACCACCTCAAAAAAGGTTATAATGCATCTACAAGTGCAATTTTAGAAGTAATAAAATATTTTTTTATAAGCAATAAAACTGGTAACTATAGGAATAAGGTGTGTATTTTGTAAACAAATCTATCTGTACCTTGATCAGGCCAGCTAAGAACGACAGGTGCCTTATTTTACTCTCTTCTTAAAGTCCATGCATCATTACTTCAGTGATAATCTAATGGGGACCGATGCAGCTACAGAGTAGTTACACATGCAGTAGCTACTACATTGAGACAACAGTCCTTAACGACACACGTGTTAGTAGCTGCCATGCAGATATAAATAGAGTATATCTAACGTTAAGTTGTAAACTGTTTACAGGCCAGAGTTCATGCAAGACTCATTCAAACACTGCTAACATTACCCTCATTCACATAACCCCCCATACATCTCGTACCTGTGGCTAACGTTACCCATTGCGTTCTTAAAAAAAAAAAGATGATTTAATTTCAAAAGTTTAGTGGGGGAAGTGAAGCAAAGACGCGACGTTGGGACACTTCCTAAGTGAGCAGTGACAAACACTTTTCCGGGTTCGACTCGCAGAGGCAAGAGAGGGCAGCAGAAAATAGCCACCGCTCGCTAGCCTTCAACGTCACATTACACACACACACACACACAACACACACACACCGGCTCGAAAACCAGCCTCCACACACTGGCTTTCACCTGAGCCGAGGTTGAACAACAGACAGTAACCGAACCGAGAGCCGGGCCGCCCTCAGGCGAGTCAGAATCCAGCGTCATTAGGAAACATTGGCGTCGGTTAGTAAACACCACGGCGGCTAGCCCGGTGCTAACTGGGCTAGCATCGCGGGAGGGTTAGTGAACACAAAAACAACACGCGCTCTCCCCGCGTTGTCGTTGTCGTTTTGTGGCACAGACACCGGAGGAGAACGCGTGTCCCACCACTCTGCCGGGAAACGCCGCGACGGGTCCGTCAAGCGCGTTTCGGAACACACCGCGGAGGCTAGCTGGTTAGCTGCCAGCTAGGCCACACAGACAGGACACACACACACAGTAGCTAACCTGGCGAGGCAGAACCCAGCCGTGGCGATACACGAACCACACGGGATCCGAATCAGACCGTCTCTCACCACGACGTCCCGGCCGCAATAAACCCTCCCCGGACGCCCTGCGTGTGCTGGGGATACTTACGGTGAAGTAGCGCGGTGGGATCACCGGGTTCCGGACTCCCGAACGGTTAAATATGACACATTTGACTGATCCGGAGGGGGGGGGGGGGTTCACTTTGTTGCTTTTGTCTCCTGGCTCGCTCGCAGTTCACGTTCGGCCGAAGCAGCTCCACACAGCGTCGGACGGAAGGAACATGTTTTAATGATGTCATCGGGCGCAGGGGTCTTGCGGAGGGGGTGTCACGCGTTTAGCCAATATGTCACGTTCCGCCCCGCATCAACGCTACTTTTACTGACTTTGTGATGCAAAAGTGACGTTGTATTGTAACGAAAATGCCACTGAAAAACAAAGTGTTTCAAAAGTTGTTCAACTAAATTGTTTGGTTTTTTTAAAGCTCAAGACAAATCTTGCCGTTCATTGGAAAGCGAGTTCTAAAAAATAAATAAACACATTTACTACCAAATAATTACTTTTTTAAATTAATTCATGAATTGCCGCTGGTGTGTGTTGCGTTCACGCGCATTCAGAAATAACAGCGCGGGGCTCAAACTGGTTTCAAATGGGATCGCAGTTTTTTTTCACATACTTATTAGCGTTATCACAGCGTCTAATCCGACGCGCTAACGGGCCATATTTCAGGGGCCAAACTTCCCCCCCGGGGTTGGGCATTGTAAGGGTCTGCTGATGCTCGGCTCAGCGTCCTGACCATTGCGGGACCTGCGTGAACGGACAGCACCCGAGGGTCAAGAGAGACGCGCGACGTGACCCGCGTCCTGCAACCCGACCGGAGGTCCGCGGCGTACTTCGGGGCCGCGATCGCCCCCCCCCCCCCCTTAAATATCGCGCTTTTGTTTTGGGAGCTTTTTGTTCCGCGCGCGGCTAGTAAGGAAATACATGGGACAAAACAACAGCAAAAAAAAAAAAACTGACAGATGGGGCTTTTGTGCGAAATCCACGACTTGCCACCGACATGACCTCCGGCGTCACACGTAAGGGTTGTGCGTGCGGGTGGGAGTTGTCTGCCGAGGCGCATTGTTGTGTTGGGGGATGAGCCGCCCGTAACCCGCTGCTGCTGCTGCTGCTGGAGGAGCTACTTGCTCCCGGTCGGCGGTGGCTAGCGAGTGACTGCGGCCCTAAGAGCGGTCCGCCATGCAAAGAGGCCGTGTGCGCTCTTTAGATTTCAACAGCGGAACCCTCGCGGGCACCCAGCGGGCCTCGTTCCTGTTGTGTTAGTAGCCGAGGGAGGGGGGGGGGCGGTATCGCCCGTTGGATGAGAACACTGTGTGCGGAACTAGAGCCTCTTAGCGGGCCGTGTCGCCATTGCTTTGTACGGTTGCCGTCTCGCCGCAGTCTCCCTAAGCTAGCGAAGCTGTTTTGTGAACCCGAGGTACGTGCATTTCTTCCGTTTTAATTCGCCCGTCTGGCCTTTTTAATTGTCGAAGAAAACAATCGACGCATCTGCAAAAAAGAAGCGAGGTTAGCATGCGTTGTTTTTAAATAGCTCTCGTTTTGTTTGACGCCATTTGCTTCGTTTTAGGGGGAGGGTTGAGGGGCTAGCTCCTCTCGCTAGCTAGTTAGCTCGCTACTACTACTGTTGTTGTTGTTAGCAACTTGGGCCACTTTTGACTGCGAGTTGTTATTTGGGAGAGGACACTCTCGTCTCTGCGCCAAATGGGCAAGCGCTAACTCCCTGCGCAGTCCCGTGCAAACGCGCCCCGCGTGACCGAGTTTAAATGCCTCAGCTGCTTGACTACAACTGTAAAAGGTACAGCTGGCCGCCGTCGCCAACGTTACATGGCCTCGCGCACACAGCCGCCGGCATCAGTTTCTCGCTTCCTGTGGTCACTTTGTCGCCTGCGATGCATTCAAATCGGTGTGAAACTTCAGTTGAAAGTTCATTATCGTAGCAATCTGTTGTGATGACATGTTTTGTTATTTTGCGAGCAATAGACGTGTCAATTATGTTGCTTTTAGAATGTTCAGGGGCCTCGCTAAGTGGGTGTCTGTACTTGTTGTATGTGCATCCTGACCCCCTGTGATCCCCCAACAAAACGGAAAAAAACGCACTAAAATAAATTCTCTCGCGTCTCCGCAGCAACACGGAGCGCCAGGATGAAGAAGAAAGCTCGGCAGCACCGGGTGGCGGTGCCGCAGAGGCCCCCGTCTCCCATCAAGCCTTCCCCCAACAAGCAGATCCTGACCTACGCCCAGGCGCAGCGCATGGTGGAGTTTGCCGTCGACGGCCGCCTCCATCGGATCAGCATCTACGACCAGCTGGACGTGGTCTCGGACGACGACCCCATGGTGCAGGAGATGATGGAGTGCACCAGCAATAAGGAGAACGCGGAGAAACCACCGCAGCAGGTCCTCGTGAGGTCAGTCCGGCTAAAAAACAACCAGGACAAGCGAAACGCTGCCCTGGGCATCAACGCTCACGGAGAGGGAGGCGGACACCAGGCGGCCAGCAATGCCGCTCCGAAGCTTCAAGAGCCCAAATTCCGCACGGTGGAATACAACCTCCCCGCGGTTCCTAAACCCTCAGCTGCCTTTTACAAATATGCAGAGAAGACTGAGGAGGAACTGGATGAGGAGACAGAGTACGACATGGACGAGGAAGACTACGCCTGGCTGGACTTGGTCAACGACAAGCGGAGAAGCGAAGGCGTCAGTCAGGTTTCCCACAACGTCTTCGAGTTCCTCGTCGACCGCTTCGAGAAAGAGCTGCACCTGGAGAGCCTGGACCAGAGCGGCGAGAAGCAAGCGCCCGTGGATGAGGACGCCGTCTGCTGCATCTGCGGCGACGGCGAGTGCCACAACGGCAACGCCATCCTGTTTTGCGACCTGTGCAACGCGGCGGTGCACCAGGAGTGCTACGGCGTGCCCTACATCCCCGAGGGCCAGTGGCTGTGCAGGCACTGCCTCCAGGCGCCCGCGCGACCCGCCGACTGCATCCTCTGCCCCAACAAGGGCGGCGCGGTGAAGAAGACGGACGACGGCCGCTGGGGCCACGTGGTGTGCGCCCTCTGGGTCCCCGAGGTGGGCTTCTCCAACACCACCTTCATCGAGCCCATCGACGGCGTCGGCCAAATCCCCCCGGCGCGCTGGAAGCTCACCTGCTACCTGTGCAAGGAGAAGGGCGTCGGCGCGTGCATCCAGTGCCACCGGGCCAACTGTTACACCGCCTTCCACGTCAGCTGCGCCCAGAAGGCCGGCCTCTTCATGAAGATGGAGCCGATCAAAGATGTGACGGACGCCGGAGAGGCCACGTTCTCGGTGAAAAAGACGGCCTACTGCGGAGCTCACACCCCCAGCGGGTGCGTCAGGAGGCCGCTGACCATCTACGACGCCGGCAAACCCAGAAACGGACTGTGTAAAAAGGTGGACAAAGGGCGCGCCGTCGGTAAGCGGCAGTCCAAAGGAAAGAAGAAGAGCAGCAAGAGGCCCGAGCCTGAACCCGAAGCCGCGATCCTCGCCGCTGTGCCTTCGTTTCCTGTTCACAGGTATGCACGAGTTGTGTTAACGGCGGGAGGCGGAGCGGCGTCCTCGGGCTTCATGTGTTGCCAGTGCTGTTGAAATGCAGCTTCATGCTCGTCCACGGCTGTCAACGGCAATATTACTCATTAAACGCAACGGTGGTTCCCCCAGGGGGAAATTACAGTGGCCCCTGTGTCTCTCCTAACATCCGTCTTCTTGGCTCCCCACAGGTTACAGACCATTCTGAACCAGGTGTCGGTTCAGAAGAAGAGGGCGTTTGTGGAGCTGGTCCTAAATTACTGGACATTAAAGAGGCAGTCCAGGAACGGGCTTCCCCTCATCAGACGCCTTCAGACCAGCATGCTGTCTCAGAAGAATGCGCAACCGGTTTGTTCATCTGTCAGTCCGCCACAGAAGGCTTTCAGTCTTCATTTTGCCTTCTACAAACCTACTAGTAGCTTTCTGGACTCAAAACTTTTGTCAACACGTTATTCCATTTGCGTTTAAGCTTTTCAACACGTCCTGCCCATTAACGAGGTGGTTGACGATGCGATGTGTGTACGTGCTAGTTTAGCTCAATGTGGATCCTTGTGGCGGAAATATGTACAAAAAGAAAGAGAAAGAAGTGTGTCTCCGTTCCTATTCCACCTCGAGTCTCAATGTACGCGTCTTTCCACGTGCTCTCCAGCGGCAGTGCGAGGAGGAGAGCAGGGCCCTGAAGGACCAGCTGAAGGAGTGGCACCGCCTCCGACACGACCTGGAGAGAGCCCGGCTGCTGCTGGAGCTGATCCGCAAGAGGGAGAAGCTCAAGAGGGAAGAGGTAGGATTTCTGACCCTTCCCTCCCCTTCCCACTTCCCTGGGATTTGGGAAACAAAGGAAAGCGTCTGACTTTTGATGGATTCCCCTCTGTGCTTGTGTTGCAGATCAAACTGCAGGAGACCCTCCTAGAGATGCAGTTGAGTCCCTTCAGCATATTGCTCAGAGCCCTGTTGGACCAGCTGCAGACAAAAGACCAAGCCAAGATCTTCACCCAGGCGGTGGATGTCGATGAGGTGAACTTCCGTTGATGCGGGATTGCGGTTCTGTTGTTGTTCGCACATAATCTACATCATCTCAGTCAGTTGCACTGTTGTTTAATTTGTCTTGTGCGACAGTGGGGAAAAATTGCAGTGTTGTAGCAGGGGACACTAACAAGTCAAGACAGATTGAGCTTTTTCTGTCAACCGTTTGACAGGTAAAATATTTTTACTTTATCTGATGGCGATTCTCCAGAGTGCAAGGGGCTCACATTTCCACCCGCAGACTTCCTGCTTGACAAACTGGATTTACCTTTTCATATTTCAACGGGATCAAAGCCCACTGCCACAAAATATTGCGTCTGTTTCTACCAGTGTTTCTACTCGATGCAAATGCACAAGAGATTTTAACTCCGTTTGTGTTTTCCCACTGCAAATGTTCTCTATATTCTTTAATATTCACCATTTTCCTAATGCAAGCTGCAAAGATGACGGACAGCAGATAACTGAGTAGACTGTGAGGCGATGTGACTCCTTGTAAAGTGGAATGTGTAACTAGAGATCAGAGTCCTCCAGCAGACGGTGACGTGACAAGATGTGTGTAGGAAGCTGTCATGGACACAGCCCGGCTAGCTCAGTCGGTAGAGCATGAGACTCTTAATCTCAGGGTCGTGGGTTCGAGCCCCACGTTGGGCGCTCCTTTTGATTTTGGGGTCTCGTTGTGGGACTGGGTATATGCCCAAACATGATAAACTACGTGAGTGCATTTTATATATTTGTCATGAATGTTTGGTTGACGGGGTTCATTTGTTTTTAACTGTGGAACTAATTCTAGGACGTGTATTATCTTACTGCAGGTCCCCGACTACCTCGACCACATCAAGCACCCGATGGACTTCTCCACCATGCGGCAGCGCATCGACACACAGGCCTACAACAACTTTGACCAGTTTGAGAACGACTTCAACCTCATAGTTGACAATTGCATGAAATATAACTCAAAGGACACCTATTTCTACCGGGCCGCTGTTCGCCTCCGAGACCAGGGCGGGTCCCTGCTCAGAAAAGCCCGGCGAGACGTGGAGAAAATCGGCTTTGACTCGGAGAGCGGAGTGCACCTGGCCGAAGCGCCGGAAATCAAGGCGCCAACATCCTTTTCTTGGGAGGACGGTAAGGGACGGACTGGGAGTTGGGGACGGGGGGCACGGGGGTGGGTTACCGCTACAATATACCAAGAAATATTCACAGAATGTGTTGAGCAAAACCACGTTTCTCTCCTCAGTGGACCGCCTACTGGCGCCGGCCAATCGGCAGCACCTGCCTCTGGACCAGCAGCTGCAGCAGCTCCTGGAGAAGTTTGACCTGACCTGCTCCATGAAGTCCAGCCCCTCTCGCAGCAAGCGCCTGAAGCTACTCAAGAAGACCATCAACGACGTGCGCAACGAAATGAGCCTAAAGAGAGTCCTGCCCTCCGGCCACCACCACCACCACCATCATCACCACCACCACCAACACCACCATCACCACCACCATTCGACTCCTTCCACTTCATCATGCTCCTCATCAGCTGTCTCACACCCGGTGTTGAGTACACCAAAAGAAGAGGGAATGAAGCTCAATGGACATTTTCCAGATGACGAGGGTATGTATGGCCTCGCTTTGGCTTTCTCATTCGGCCCTTTTTTATTTATTATTTTCTTAAGAAAAAACATTGCTTTGAGATTTTAAAGACAACAGCATGTATTTTAATATCCTGAGGTCAAAGGCCCCCTCCCTCCTCCCCACATGTCATGTCTTTTACCAGGTGTTTGGGGAACATGGTCGTCTCGTTTTCTCTAAAAAATAAAAAAACTATCCTGCTTCCAGAAATCTAAATCTCCTTTGTCAATTCTCGGCCTATGTCGCCGACTTTACCAGGAGGTTACCGTGATGCATATGCACGACACAGAAAGCGCAATTTGCCTTTTCTAAGTCTCCGCGGCAGGCAGGCCGCGCTTTTACATCAGTGTGGCTTGTTTAACATAGCTCGTCATGCTTTTACGCGCATGTTGCGAAACAAATACGCCTGATGTGGGTGCAAAGGCGTACGTGAGGCCCTTAGAGTCTGATCAGATTGGTCAGTGGGTGCAGCACACACTTCACAATACTTGTTGCACCGTAACATTGTCTTTTTCACAAAGAGTTGGTCATAAATATCTGGAGTTCATTGCCAGCGGAGCTACTTTTGGTTCTGTGTCCAAAAACCTCCCAACTTCTCCATCACTCAAACTGTTTTAATATAACAAATTTCTCACACACAATCTTTTGTGAGCTGCTAATCACAGAAGCAGAGAGTCCCATGGATGTCGTGCTGTGCTCTGTGCCACTGCAGTGCGCCCTAATGTTTAAACTGGCACACTTGCTGAGCCACATTATGGTTGCTAGGGAGGCAAAAAATAATTTAGCTCTTATTTTTTATTCATAAAAGTGCCTCAGTGTTGTGCTGATATATTGCCTTGTTTTACTTTTTTGATGAACCAAAAGCCATTCCAGAATGTGGAATGTCAGCACTTCTCCAAACCCAAGGACAAAGCGTGGGTGTTTACTGTCAGTAATCGCTTTATACTACAGATCCCATTTGGTGGTCTCTGCTGCACTTTAGTTGTATTGTTTATGGTTCTTACTTTTAATAAATAGCTTTATTTTTTTGTTGTTGTTCCCGAAAGATAATCCAAGAAATGCATCGCTAATGTTTTACCACAGCACAACGTATTGTTTTCTATTTCTACATCACTACAAGGAAGTAATGAGGATGAAAGGACACATTAAAATGAATAATAACACGGGAAAAAAACAACAACTGAGGAAACAAATGATGCGGCCATAAGATGAATAATATGTGTTGTGCTTAATGGTCGCATTTTAAATGATTCATGTTCCCCCACTTTCCCCTCACAGTAGACAAGTCTCTTCCTCCCAAGCTGGAGCCTTCGGACTCCATCCCCCCACTCATCCACTCGGGCACCGACCCCGGGCCCCCCACCCTCAGACCCGTCGACGCTGCCCCGGACTGCGAGGACGGGCACCCGAGCGGCTTCGCCAAGTTTGATGGGGAGGCGCCCGAGCTGCTGTGCTCCACCCCCTCCCGCCTCAATGGCCACTCCCTCGACGGCCTCCGGGCCTCGCTGCTGGACGGGGATGTCAGCGTGGTCGCCACGTCGACCCTGGCGGAGCCCGCGTGCAGCGTTAACCGCCGGACAGCCGTGCTCTTCCGCAAGTCGAAGGCCGCCGGCCCCCACAAGCTGCCCGCGAGGAGCAGGGCTGGCGAGGGGCTCGACGGAGCCGACGGGAAGGGGCCCCCCTCCACGCAGGAGGGGGAGGAGAAGGAAAAGGAGGAGGAAAAGGAGCAGGAGGCTGGGGAAGGCGCGCAGCTGGGCTTCCTGTCCGTGGTCATACCCAGGCTGGAGACGCTGCTGCACAGCAAGAAGAGGAAACACGGCAGCGGCAGCAGCCGGGACAGCAAGGAGGAAGAGGCGGAGGAGCAGCGAGGAGAGGGGGAGCAGGAAGAAGAGGGGGAGTCGCCCGTGAAGCGGCTCGACACCGGTAAGAACAATCGTCAACAGAGGGGTTCCCCGGTCCCTGCGTTTCCCTCCGAGCTGCCGTATGGCAGAACATGAATGGCGTCTCTTCAACGCTCTGATTTAAATGAGTGCGGCAGGCTTCTGCCGTGCTGCCAACCGGAGGAAACCGACAGTCGAAACGTCGCAATGAGCCGCCGAGGTGAAAAGCGCTTTTTGAATATCTGTCATGAACGTTTGTTGGGCCGCGCTGTGTCTCAGGCTTGTCGAGCGGTTTCCTGGAGGTGGTCGAGGAGGAGGAGCCGGTCGGCTCCAACGGGGCCGGTCGAGCCGCCGAGCCGCGGAGGCGCTGCGCCTCGGAGTCGTCCATCTCCTCGTGCAGCAGCCTGCCGGGAAGCACCAGGTAGCACCAGGCTGACGTCAAATAAGCACTTTATTTATTTTAAAAGCCGTCCATATGATGCTGGGAAAGCCGACGTGGTCTTACTCAAGATGAAAAGGGCTCTGTGTGGCTCGCAGCAGTTTTGCCTCAATAGTTGTTGTCCTTTTCTTCGTCCACAGCACTGTTCTCAGCCTTCCAAAATGTGGGAAGGGGAAACCAGCCCTGGTCCGGAGGAACACTGTGGACGATAAGAGCGAATTAATCGCCTGCATCGAAACCGGGAACTTTGCAAAAGCTGCTCGAATCGCTGCCGGTGAGTTGGCTGCATTGTGTCTGTGAGGGTTAGCTTTTAGATGATGTACAGAAACCACGCCGTTCATACTATTGAGGATTTTCACAGTGAAACCGTGATAATTCATTCCTTTTGAATTCTGCACTACACTCTTCACAATAGAGTGCCTCATCTGAAAGCAGGAACTGAGTGGGAGCCTGAATGATATGAACGATCGAGTGTATTTGACTTGATAATAATGACAATAAACATTTTTGCAAGGAGCTGTCGAATTTGGCTATTGAGAAGAATATCCAGTTGTGGAAGAAGGTTGGGCAAACACTACATTACAAACTACAAACTCTACAAACTGTAAACATCACAGATCAAAATTACATTAGAATGCAATTCCATTTAGCGTACAAGCGAGAATGTACACCGATAACGATATACACACACATACATATATATATATATATATATACATACATACAGTATATGACAATGGCCTGTTGGTCTCCACCAGAAATCAGTGTGGCCAAAAAGCGAAACCGTACATTAAGTAGTCGTGTCGATTTCGATGTTTGCAAAACCGTTCCCCTGGTGAACTCGTTCCTTAAAGTTATACTGGTTAGAACTTAGAAAACTATTTTGTATTCTCAGACACACACACACACACACACACATTTAGCATAGCATGGTTGGCAATTACAAGCAGCCCCCCCGTCCAACTTGTCGTGGCTTCTGGCACTGAGCAGTGAGCGTTTACTCTCTGCCCGCCACCACTCAGCTGCCGGAGCCTCTTCCCCCGTCAAAAGTTCCCATTTGGCAAAAAAAAAGGGGGGGTCAATTTCAACATCCGTCGCTCAGTGTGCCTCGTGAAAGGAAAAGCCAATTTCCCGCCCTGATTTTGCCGTGGGCCAACTGCCTTTTCAAACGTGTTTCAGTGTCCTTTTTTTCTGTGTAAACCCACTTGTGACTCGTTTGGTGTTTTTCCTGCTTCCATAGAGGTTGGCAACAGCAATATTTGGATGCCCGCTAGTGCCGCAACAGTTGCATTGGAACCCCTGAAGCTAGTTTGGGCCAAATGTAGTGGATACCCTTCCTACCCGGCCTTGGTGAGTGTTTGCTTGGACGGAGCGCATGACTGAAGTCCCTTTACTCTGACGTTCTCCTGTCGTCTTTTCAAGAAGCAATACCTTTACTCCAGTTTGTCCCCTAGGTGGCAGCATTCTACTGTTAACTAGTAGGATTTGGCCTCAGAGTTAAAGGACAAATGAGGAAGGGAATCGTGTGTGTGTGTGTGGCCATGCCTCTGCATTCATGGGCACAAATCTGTGTGTAACGTCCGCCCTCCTCCCCCTCGCTGTGTGTAGATCGTCGACCCGCACATGCCGCGCGTGGGCTGCCAGCACAACGGCGTGTCCATCCCGATGCCTCCCATGGACGTGCTGCGCATCGGAGAACAGATGCAGTACAAAGCCGAAGAGAATCTCTACCTCGTCCTCTTCTTCGACAACAAGCGCAGCTGGTGAGTGGACGCCGTGGGGGGCGGAGTCAGGGTGATTTAAGCCCAAGCGAGGGTGAAACGCGTTGGTCTTATTTCGTCGTGGCCGCGTCACAACAGCTGTCGAGAGACTACGAGTGGCTTTAGCACCTGGACTGCCGTCACTGGGAGAAGAATGGTGGTCCGTCCTTTACCGGGAGGATGGTAGTGGAGCCTTTATTACTGGGACCAGTAATTTGTGGTGTTTGTTCCATTATTTAACAAAAGTACGACAAGAGCTTTTTATTTCAGTTGATTAAATACTTTTTGTTTAATTTTATTTGTTTTTGTCTGGTCACATACACACGATCGCAGCCGTTAAAGTAGGAATAGTATGAATTTAGTTTCTTCATGTGTTGTAACAAGTATTCATTTGGTGCCGTAATTGGTTGTCATTCATCCAAATAATCAAAATTTCAAAAATTTAGAGATTGACGCTTTTCTGTTTATCTGTTTTATGTTATTGTATACTTTTTTTATATCCACTGAGTTTATTGCAAGAGCAAAATATTACCATTTTTAAAAACTCCGGGTGTTACGTGGCCGCTGTCTTCTCGCCCTCAGGCAGTGGCTTCCTAGATCCAAGATGGTTCCCCTGGGAATGGACAAGACCATAGACAAGATCAAGATGATGGAGGGACGCACGTCCAGCATTCGCAAGGCCGTCCAGGTCGCCTACAGTCGCGCCATAAACCACCTGAGCATCGTGCAGGACGAGCCGGTCAGCGACCTCAGCGACGTGGACTGATGCTGCTCGCTGACTCTGACCACGCACACACACACACACACACGCACACACACACAGTTACCTCTCCTGTACCAAATACCTTCCTCCTCCCCCGGCGCTCTCCCGATTCTGCTGGTGACTCAAATGTTTACTGGGGCCCCCCGCTCACCCTCCTCCCCCGCCCTCTTATCGCGTGCCCATGGGATGCGGCTGCTGCTCAAATGAATGTGTCCGTCTGATCCCCGTGTGCTTAGAGTCCGTTCCTTTTATGCCCGACTCAGATTGCCCCCTCTGAAAATTACGATTGTGGTTTCAAAGCAAAAAAAAAAAAAAGAGCGTGATCGGTCCTTACCGAACTCACCAGTGGCGTCGGGACCTTGCGGTGAGACGAGAGCGCCGCTCCGAGCTTTCATCACTTCTCTGGCGAGCTGTTAAATAATAAGTCGCTGGTAAATTTGCCTTTAATTACCGTATGTCAAGGTTAGCATTTCCATACTGGTCATGTCCATTTTCACACACCTTTTGTATGTAAACTGTAAATAATCTGTACAGATGCCTGACACTAACTTATTTAGTAGTTTTGACGGAAATAAGTACTGTACAGGGGTTTTCTTAGTATTTATACTTGATGCATTCTTGGCACTCACGGTGCGATGTGGACAGTGGTGTACGGTCTATGAGAATAAAATTGTTAAGGAGATTAGGGCTAAATTGTATTCATTTTTTAAGTTATTGAAGTTTATCATTGTAAGCTTCCATTTGGCATTGATCCTTTTTGTATTCCAAATAGTTTTAGTATATTTTTGTTCATATATATATTTATATGATTTGAAGTCTCTGAAGCTCATACAGTCTGATGTTGTGGACCCAGAACGCGTATATTGTACTGAAGAAACCAAAAAAGTTGCTATTTTTTTCTTTCCTTTTTCTTGCTGATTAATTTCCTGTGTAATGTGTGAACTGATTGCCAAAAAAGAAGATATTACAGTAAAGTGTATTTTTCTGTGATACGTTTGAGGCTGCGGTAACCTATTGTAAAGTATTTGCATTACTTTATATCCGAGGAAAGACGTGCGAGGTGATTGTGGTAAAGCGGCACATTCTGTGGTGGACACTTGCCTTCTTTTTGAGTAATCTTTTTTTCAAACTTCTTTTGTAGTTGTAGACTTCAAGACATTTCATTTTATACAATTGCCTATTTTCTTTCTGGCTAGCATTGGGCCGTTTTTGATATTTCATTTTTGTATTTAACTGTCGTTTTCTTTTACCTTTTTTTTTTTTTTTTAATTGGGTCATATGAACTATTGCTGGGGCTCTTTTTTTTCTAGCAAAAAATAAAACCCAAACAAATATGAACTCTTGCTTTGTTTTTCATGCATTATCTCTCACCTCAGTATTCAAAGCTTATTCGATTCTTTTTTTTTTTTGTTTTTGTTTAAAGAATTCTGAAACTCACTGCTAAAAAGTAAAAAAAAATGCTTTCAATTCATTAGCAAAGTAACTTCTTTCCCCCGGCCTTAACTGGGTCGCGAGAAGGACCCAAATTCTCCTCAATGTCACTTGTAAGAAGTGCGCCTCCTTCATGGTTGGCAGAGGGCAGACTCTAATTCAACCCACTGCCTGCCATATGGCACCGCACCCTGCTCGTCTACTCAGCCCATGATTGTCCACTTAAATAGAAAATTGTGTCCCACAAGGTTGCCAGGTATGCGAGTTGCTGTATTCCAGCAATTTCATAAGGAGTTTTGAAGATCACGGGTTCATAATGGAAGTCTGGGGGAGAAGGAGAAAGCAAACGGGGGCGTGCGGCCGCACAATCGGCTCGCAGGACTTTTAACGGCCTGATTTATTTTGGGCAGCGTTATGTTTTTATTTTCTGATTTAGAAAATATACTCTGAACAGCTGTCAGTCCCACGAGCATCGGAACTTAAGCCATAAGGTTATGGGTCGTCGTGGCGCAGGGGTTAGAGAAGGTGTGCTGGGAAGCACAAGGTTGTTGGTTCGATTCCAGACTGCTGTTCCATGTCGAAGTGTCCCTGAGCAAGACACCTAACCCCTAATTGCTCCCTGGGCAAAGATGTGAAAAAGCCACGGGTTTAAAGTGTAATGTAAGTCGCTTTGGATAAAAGCGTCTGCTAAATGACATGTAATGAGTTTGATTCAACAAGAATCCCGTCTCCTCCTGCCTTAAACTTACCTGTCAAGGGATTTACTAAACGGCTCCTGCTTCCTTGAATATCTCTTAAAGTCCTTTAGTTTGAAGACTCATTAAAACTTAAAGGATGACCATAACGTTGGTGTCCTGCTCAGGTTTGATTCTGCACAACTTCGCTCTTGTTCGACCATCTGAAAAATGAATGTAATTTAAATATTCTGTGGGAACTGCTCATTTTAAATTGTACCTTTTTTGTTATTGTATAATTATTCATTTCTATCTCAAGTGTTGGCTCACAGCTTGCTGTTGATCCGTTGTCATAGTGTGAATCGTCGCCGTGCAAAAGGACGTTTACATTTGAAAAATCGTCTTCAATCACACCTGCTTCTTCTCACGCAGCTTTTCAAGTAGGAACGCTTACTCTTCAAGCAGCTCTCTCGGCTCTCAGCCCGTATTCTCCGAGCTGGCCTTTTATATATCTCAGCTTTTGTGTCTTTGACATTAATCTATGCAAAATCAAACTATACAGAAAATCAGTTATTCTCACAATGACAAACTAAGTTGTCTCCCAAACACCCAAATACCTGAATACTGAATACTAATAGTCTTCCCAATAAATTGAAGGTGGGAGTTACTGATGCTAACTCTCGATAAGCACATTTAATGGGCTTTGTTGTAACGTCGGATTGCGTGCTTTCTGTTTTTTTGCACCTTGTTTCGGTCTGGAATTGTTATTCCAAATAATTACAGTTAAGTGAGAAAGTGAATGCTACCTGAAAGGCAGTGGAGTAGAAGTATGAAGTAAGTGAACTACAGCAAGGCTGTTTGCCGGTGTGTCCACCGGGGGGCGCTGTGGCTCCACACCACGCCTCCCCCTCGGGGGTGAAGCCGGGATGTCGTCTACAAACTAGGCCCACCTGAACGTCCACCTGCTCACCTTAGCCTCAACACCCCCCCCCAACTCGCCCCAATCCCCACTAATCAGGTAGCCATCAGTATTCAGCGTACAAAACCGTCTCCATCCTTTTGAATGTCAATTATTTGTAAAATCCTCTGAAGAACCCGGCTCCCAAGGTCCATCTCTCTTCCCCCCATTGAATATCCCCTCGGGTTTGGGCCACGAGAGCGGGCAAAAATTTTTGGGCCTATGACTCCGCCGGACGCATTTATTGGGTTTGGGGCCAAAGTTTCAAACAGAAGTGGGCCTACCGGGGAGAGGAGGGCGGAAGGTGTACAAAAAAACACGTTGAACCTTCCTGCACTTGTGGCGTTTTGCTCTGCGGCTTCGTTTATTTAAAAAAAGAAAGAAAAAAATCTGAATAAAAAAGAGGGCCGAGCGAGCCGCGTCTCAGATGCAAATTTCTTGATGGAAGCGTTTGAAATATGCATTTTTACTTAAGCCAATCCATCTTTTGTTATTTTGAGCCACTGACATTCAGAGATGCAAAGCGTTATGGGGGGGATTAAATGAGCTAGTAATGCCCCCCCCCCCCCCACCTGATATAAAAAGCCACCTTCAAACCTCATTGAAAGACAACTCCCCAGCTCTATAAACAGTCGCGCGCTCAGAGAGGCACGGCACCGTCTGACTCCATCACCACCTCTCCTCCTTTTGTCTGTCTGTCTCCACCAGATACTAATTGCGTGGGGAGGTAAACATTGCAGTCAAGTGGAGAGGACGCGGCGAGTGAAGCGTGAATATCAACCCCCCCCCCCTCCGACACACACACACACACACACACAGACCCTCATCAGTGACATCGGATGACTCTGACCGAGTTGGAGGTGATCTCATTAGAGCGCTGCTTCGGGTGCCGCAGGCCGCAATAACATCCGGGTGGAGGCCTCTGAAAGTATGCGAGCCTGCAGAGCTCACCAGGTAACACACGTGTGTGTGTGTGTGTGTGTGTGTGTGTGTGTGTGTGTCTGTGTGTGTGACAGTGACAGGGCCGTAGACCCCCCCATCCACCTGCACCAGCGTTACCAAGGTTCAGGGAGGAAATGTCACCCGAACGCCTCCACAGGTGTTCACAGACATGTCCATAGCTGTGTGTGTGTGTGTGTGCACGCTTGTTACCATACTCATGCATGCGATTGTTAGGAGCACCAGCAATGCTGCGGCTCCCACGTCAGGAGGTGACAGCAGGGGTCAGACGTGGAAACTAATTCCCGATAACGTTTTCTCCCTGAGATTTTGGGGATTTGGGCTTTTTCTTAGAACCTCTGCTCTTTTATATATATTTCTATCTCCAAGGCAGAGGGACAGACAGACGCGGCTTTTTATTGTGCCTCTGAGACCATTGTTGGTTGTCTTGACAAATAACCCAGAGCGGAGTTGAAAAAGAAATGTAAATTTGTACTTATTCAGCCTCGATTTGCAGCCCTATGTTGTTGCACACAGAATATCTTGTGAAAGCTGTGACGGGGACTTTATTGATTAACTTTGGGAAGATGTTTAATGTTCTCACTCATATCGGGACCTACCCGAATGGCCGGCGGTTAGAGGGTACAACGTGTTTTGAAAAGAAAGTGCAGACAAAAAAAAAGTATTCCCCAACAGGGACAAAAACTTTTTCAAACACTGCAGGGACTCATCTCTACTGTGACAGAAAGTTGGGAGGTTTGTGAGATGAGTGGTAAAGGAAACGCACTCTGAACCCTGACCCCCCCCCCCCCCCCTCCTCCCCATCCTCCTGCATTAAACATCACGCCAACCATTTCATTTTGGAACTGGCACAAAAAATATATTATCCTCCACCGCTCCTCCCTTCCAAATCCTCCTCTTTGTGAACCCTATACCCCCCCCCCCCGCCCGCCCCCCCCCGGCAGGTCCCTGATAGGCCCAATCTCCAGTGGCTATGTTCAAAACACTGGGCCAGAATAGCACAGGCCCTAGGTAGATAAATATTTATGGGGTGCGTTTTACTTCTTACCACAGAGGAGAAGTAGAAATAGTGTGTTTCCAAGGTGAGCAAAAACAAACAACATCAAAGGAATTTAAATGCACTTCATTTAAATTTTCTCCCACAGTCACATGTTTCTGCAGAGATTATCGTTCGCTGGTTAATGAAAGGATTCACGGGGGTACTAGAGAACCGCATTTTTGGAGTTTATTGGAAATAAAAGAACGTAGGCCGCCCTTGTGGGATATAGAAGGCCTGTAGTTGGGGAACGTGGTGC